TGGTAGTGGTAGTGGTAGTGGTAGTGGTAGTGGTAGTGGTAGTAGTGGTGGTAGTAGCAGTAGCAGTAGCAGCAGTAGTAGCAGTAGCAGTAGCAGTAGTAGTAGTAGTAGTAGTAGTAGTAGTAGTAGCTGTAGTAGCTGTAGTAGTGGTAGTGGTAGTCGTAGTCGTAGTCGTAGTCGTAGTGGTAGTAGTAGTAGTAGTAGTAGCAGCAGCAGCAGGATTAGTGATCATACAGATGTTGTTTTTATTAATGATAGCAAACAATATAACAGAGAACGAACAAATACTGGTGCTCATCATTTTCCGAATTTGCAATGGGAACACTAACATGTTATGTCTAAAGCACAGAGAAGACAGAATCATAAATGCATATCACCCTCGCAGTGCCACGGGGCTGAATTTAAGTTACCACAATCGATCTGCGGTAAATAGCATGGTGTCCTTGTTATTTTAACTTAAGTCTAAAGTTCCTAAACCCTAAACCCCGCTAACCCCTGATAGCACCCTCTAAGTTATGATTATTTGAGGTCGATTCCTGACCAAAAAACCTAGTACCGTGGCTGGAGCAGTGGAGTCTGCTTCCAACTTTGCCCCTGAGCCGTTGGCGCTTCAGTAGATGTGCACTATCTTGTTCAAGGGCTTCAGGCTTTTAGGGTTTATGGTTAGTAGATTGGAACATCTCTGTGAAAGGGCTTAGGGCTATTAGATTTGCAACATTTGCTCAAAGGACTGGTATATAAATGTTTATTTTTATATAAGGTTGCACATCGCTTTATGGGGTGTATGCAATGCCTCATATAGGTTTACATAGTTTACTTTTGTTGGAGAGAGTTGCAAAATGGTTTCAGAGGGTTGTGCGAGTCTGTTCCCTTTTTGTTCATAATCTTCGATGGAATTCTAACCAGTTCAGAGACGCAGAGCTTTTCTGAAAGCAGTGTATCGTGTCAGAGCTTCGCAAGATTGCACCGCGTTGCATCGGGCTTCAAAGCTAGAAAGGGACGCATGCGAGGGATTCTACTGTGTAGGTTCTTGATCATGGTCCCCGGTTCTGTCAAACTCTAGCATGGCTGGCCACTTGCCACCATGTGTGGCGTACATGGATCTCAGATATATCTTGACGTCCATTCGCTGCGTAACGACGCCGACAGGCCCCGGGTAAACTTTCCTGCGGACCCCACTTGCGACACGCGATTCGCGGTCATGCTCAATGGGCGACCAGGGGTTTTTGAGGCTCCGAAGATATTCAAGAGAACCCTCGTCCCCACACCAGTTTCCCGACCGGTCCTGCAACCGATATCCGATAGCTCGGAACATCCGAGTTCGATTCATCTGGTCACTGTACGGTATGTCGAACACAGGTGCGGACCGGATCGCCTGTTTAAGCTCTCGGGCACGTGGATGCCCTTGCACACTCATCCCCTTTTTTAATTGATCCGGAAGCTGTAAGAGTAGCTCTTTGGATGATTAGGTCACGATGTGTTCCATAGGTGTGCACACTCAGGCATGAAACTTGCTGCTGATGTCGCCGTTGTACATTGCTCGTGTAACCCGCGCTTCCCATTTAATTCCAGGTGCTTGGTCTTGTTTCCGGCACCTGCTTTCCTGCGCAGCAGATTTAACCCAAAAGCTCGTGTGACACACTCCTTCGAAGCCTTTGATGGGCAGTCAGAGCGCCAGATAATGACATTTCGAACTGATGATAATACAAATATATTGGTCCGGCAAACTGTTAGTTATAACAACTAAAACCAAGAATGACTCACTAACTTATTTCCGCCAACTCGTAGTCAGACTGATATTGGGCCTCAGGCTCGTGCTTGTTGTTCTGTCCTTCTTTGTCCACAGAACCCTCCGGCCTCCAAATCCCAACCTCTGCTCACTTTTATCAAGTGGTTAGGGTTTGCAGTTTAGGGCCTTGAAGATGCCTGGTAGATTTGAGACTTCAAGACTGGTAATGGCCGATACCCGAAGGGAGTTGCGTCTTCACATACAGTTTCCTAGACTTGACTAGAGCATACTGACGCCAAGTTACATCTGGCATGCTATGATTTCTGCTATGTTCTCATCAACTGTCTACAGTTCGGAGGTGCGTAGTCCGTGAAAGTTGCGGATGGAGGAATGTGTCGTTTGACATCCGAGAATGGAGAGCCAGGAAGGGCTGTTTGCCCCAAGGACGCTGTGAGATCTTTTGAAGTCGAGCACGCCTTGCGACCCTGTTTCTGTCACCCCCGTACTTGTTTCCGTGGTGCCGCAAACTCCGTCCACCTGCGCCCCCTCTATCCGACTCCAGCCTTCGTCTTCAACGAGCCCCGGTTCAGGGATGCTTTGGTATGTCTTAGTATTCAAGCTCCAAAACATAGACTTTTAAAAGGGGGGGGACATGTTTGAGGTTAAAGGCTGGACACCACGGCCAGTTTTGCTGATGCCCTCGTTCACAGTTTCGTGCGAACGCTTGGGCGAAGGGCGGTCGATGCCGTGCATCTTCTAGGACCTCACTTTTCTGTAGGTTCTTATTATTAACCCTAATATGGGATTTAT